TCTCTTCTCTGTTTCACTCTAATTCTCTCTGGGTCTCTCTCGGACTCTCCGTTTTCTCTCTCAAAATTGGCCGACCGGGGCTCTCTCTCTCTCTCTCTCTCTGGCTTTTATAGGCGGCGACGACGTGTCTCTCTGCCTCTCTGCGTCGGCGTGACGACGGCCTGCACCGGCCTACGCCACGCCACGACTTTCGTGGCCATTACAGACCGGTGCAGAGCAGAGCAGGGGGGTTGGTGTCGAGAGGGTGCAGAGAACCGAGAGGGAGGAGGGGATAAGGGAGAGGGGAAATGGGGAGGACGGGACTGGCCATTAATGCCAGTCCCGTCGGCGTGCTCATCCGGCTCTCCTCTGGCCAGACAGCGACGGCGAGAAGCGGCGCCGCCGTGCGTCACGCTTTCGTCGCGAGCGAGGGAGAACAGGGCGAGGAGAGCGGCCGCGCGAGGGGAAAGAGAAGGAAAGGAAGAGCTGGCGAGTGGGCCCGGCCGCGGGAGGGAGAGAAAAAAAGAAAAGGAAGTGGGCTGGGCCCGCGTGGGGGAAAAAGAAAAGAAAAAAGAATGGGCTAGGCCCATGCGGGGGGAAAAAAGGAAAAAAGAAATGGGCCGGGTCGGCCCAGGTCCGACCCGGCCCGACTCGATTTTTTTTTTTTTTTTTTTTTAAAAAAAATTTAAGAAAATATGCTCTAATAGGCCCTATTAATGCACATATGCCTAATGTCTATATGCAATGCATTTAAATAGAAATATTTTTTTGTTTTAGGAATTAAAGAAAATTAATTCCTAAATTTTGTGTAATTAATTTTGGGCAAATTAAAAATAGGTGTCAACAACCCTGAAGAAGACCTCTCAGATTGGCAGCGTCGTACCGCTTGCGAGAAAACTCAGATCCTTGCGGATGTGATAACGGTCAGATTGAGTGTTTTCGATGTTCCCGCATTAATGGACGGGACAAATAACCCTTTGCAATGAGAGCGAGTTCGAAAGTCCTTTCTGACTAAGGATCTCTCGTTCAGCATCTCGAGAAGTCCACCTTGCGAGCGAATATTGTTTTGATTGATAATTACCCTCGGTGGATGTTTGGTGATGCAAACATGGCAAAATTATCATGCATGAACTTTCAAATGCGCATTCTGGAATAGCTTAGCTTGTCTATCCTTGATGAATGCATGCATATTTGCGCTAACTCTCTTTGACAGGTAAAATATCTTCAAAGACTCAAAGAACATATGACCTTTGGAGCGTCTCCAAAGATGTCACAAAAAATTTCTTCTGTTCCCCAAGCGGAATTGACACAGCATGCTTTTGCAGCTCAGAGTTCTAATCCCCAGTGATAGAACACGAAAATTCGGGCACTGGAGAAGCCCTCATTATCATCACAAAAGAGATGCCCCAAAAAAGGTCGGATATTCAGCAGATGAACCATCAAACCTCCGGGTAAGAAATCCCAGGTATTTCATCATAAATTCTTTTCAAACTACCCAGAAGGTAAACAGGGTGTTCCTTTGAAAAAGAAAAGCATCTTGGCTTGCTGACAAAGATATTTCATATGATATTCTAGAATAGCCTTAATTGTCTATTTCTTCGATGAATACATATGTGTTCGCACAAAGAAAAATTTGTCTGACAGGAGACATGCCCTTAAGAGGCAGGAATGTGCCCAGGCGAGGACCCCCAGGTGCTCATCGTTTGAGTCTTTTCAAGACCTGCTGGCGAGGACCCACCAGGCAAACCATCAAATCCTCGGCACGAGGACCCCCAGGTGCTCATTGTTTGAGCCTTTTCAAAATCTGCTGGCGAGGACCCACCAGGCAAACCGTCAAACCCTCGGGCGAGGATCCCCAGGTACTTTGACAAACAAAATCCAGTCAGTCAAGGCGACCGAAGAAAGGTTCGGGTCCTAGACAGACCAAATGAAATCCAGTCAAGGCGACCAAAGAAAGGTTCGGGTCCTAGGCAAGCGATTTCCCCAGTCGAGGCAACCGAAGGTAGGTTCGGGTCCGAGACAAATGAAATCCAGTCAAGGCGACCGAAAATAGGTTCGGGTCCTAGGCAAGCGATTTCCCCCAGTCAAGGCGACCGAAGATAGGTTCGGGTCCTAGGCAAGCGATTTCCCCCAGTCAAGGTAACCGAAGAAAGGTTCGGGTCCTAGACAAATGAAATCCAGTCAAGGCGACCGAAGATAGGTTCGGGTCCTAGGCAAGCGATTTCCCCCAGTCAAGGCGACCGAAGAATGGTTCGGGTCCGAGACAAATGAAATCCAGTCAAGGCGACCGAAGATAGGTTCGGGTCCTAGGCAAGCGATTTCCCCCAGTCAAGGCGACCAAAGAAAGGTTCGGGTCCGAGACAAACGAAATCCAGTCAAGGCGACCGAAGAAAGGTTCGGGTCCTAAACAAGCGATTTCCCCAGTCAAGGCGACAGAAGAAAGGTTCGGGTCCTAGACAAAAGCAATTTCCGTCAAGGCGATCGAAGATAGGTTCGGGTCCTAGACAAACCATTTTTCCCGTCAAAGCAACCGAAGACAGGTTCGGGTCATCGACACACAATATCAACTATCTGGAATTACTCTACCCTTCGGCAAGGTAAGTAGCCCCAGGTATGTTTTTATTTGCTTTAGCATGCATCATCTTATATCGCATCATAAAAATGGAACTCCGGTCTCGCCAAAAATAACATTCATTGAACATCCATGGGCTAAATTTAGGTGCCATTTTATCTTTGAACGTAACCTCTGCGAGCTCACCTTCAAAGAGGGGCAGCTGTTGACATATATTTTTAATTTGCCCAAAATTAATTGCACAAAATTTAGGAGTTAATTTTCTTTAATTCCTAAAACAAAAATATTTCAATTTAAATGCATTGCATATAGAAATTAGGCACATTTTGCATTAATAGGGTCTATTAGAGAAGATTAATTAAAAAAGATCAAAAAAAAAAATCGAGTCGGGCCGGGTCGGGGCCGGGCCGACCCGGCCCTTTTCTTTTTCTTTTTTCTTTCCCCCCGCACGGGCCCCGGCCCTTTTCCTTTTCATTTTTTCCCCCACGCGGGCCCGGCCCGCCTTCTTCTCCTTTTCTCCTTCTCCCCACGCCGGCTGAGCTTGGCCCGGCCCGGCCCTCCTCCTTCCTTCTTCCCCCCGTCGCTCTCGCCGCCCATGTTCGCCTCTGTGCTCGACGGCAGCGTGACGCACGGCGGTGCTGCTCCTCGGCGTCGCTATCTGGCCAGAGCAGGGCCGAGTGAGCACGCCGACGGGACTGGCATTAATTGCCAGTCCCGTCCTCCCCGTTGTCCCGGCCTTCCTTATCCCCTCTGCCCTCTCTTCCCCATGTTCCTCTTTGCGCCTAACAGAGCTGCTCCCCCCTGCTCTGCACCGGCCTAGATGGCCGCGAAAGTCACGAGCCAGACTAGGCCGGTGCAAACCGTCATCATTGCAGACATAACGGAGCAGGGGGGCACCGTCGTCGCCGGCTATAAATAGCCAGAGAGAGAGAGAGAGGGCCGGTCGGCCATTTTCAGAAAAAACAGAGACAGAGAGAAGAGAAAGAACAGAGAGAGAATCAGAAAGAAAAGAGAGAGAAAGAAGAGAGATTCGAGTTTCTGCAGGTTCCCACAGCCGCGCCATCGACCGCAAACCAGCCAGAAAACTTCTAGTCGCGTCGCCGAACGGTGAGCCTCCACCGGTGCTCTGTTTTGCCCTGTTTTTGTGCTCGGTTTGGCCGGGACCTGCGCCGGCCGTTTCACGCGAGTCCCGGCCCATACCGTTGTCCCCCGCCGTCCGTGTGTCCTCACCGAAGGTAGGTTGGGTCGCCTAAATCCTCCGGTTCGCCGGAACAGGTCAGGATTTGCTGTTTTTGGTCGCGCACACCATCTGCTCGACAAAAGTCCTCAATGAAACCAGTTTTCGTTTTGGTCGCCAGCCGGCGAACGGCGGTCGGACGGTGACCCCGGTGGGTGGAGAGGCTTGGTTTTACTCCCGGGAGGCCGATTTGGGGGCGGCGCCGTGCCAGGTCGGCGGCGAGAGGCCGTTTTTGGCTTCACGGCGGCTGCCCCACGGGTTCGGCCTGACCCGGTTCAGCCGACCCGACCTGGTCAACGACCCGGTCGGATCCGTTGACCCGGGTCGGTTTCGACCCGGTCCGGATCCGCCTCCCTTTTTTATTTATTTTTTATTTTTTCTTATTTTTTTTTTAAAAATTTTAAAATTTTTAAAAAAAAAAATTTTAAAAAAAGTTAAATGATTTTTTTTATCTTTATTTCTTCCCTTTTTTTATTTTTTTTATTATTATTTTTTAAAAAATTTCGTTTTTTTATTTTTTATTTTTAAAAAAATTTCTTTCTTATGTGATATATTTGTTGTTTTAATTTAATGTGATATGATTATGCATGTTTTTGTCTTGTTTAAATTAAATAAGACTAAGGTTACCCGGTAGTATTTTGCATGTTATTTTATTATTACCGTTGTATTATTATTCATGTTTTAATATAATTGCATGAATTGTTGTGTTTTGAATGCCATCTGACTTAGTTAAGTTAGAACCTTAGGTTGCATGTTTAGCCTGATTGCTAATCATTTCTGATTATGCACTCGTTTGATCACCTCACATGTTAGGAGAAAGGTCCTAAAATCAATCCAAATTGTCTGACAAATGTTTTCAGAAAAGAACAAGGTAAAAAAGTACCGAAAGGGCATTAGTTATCCAACTAGTGTAACCAAGTCCCCGAACTTAGTTAGTCTCTGGTTCGCAGGAATAGGGTGATTCTCCCATCACCCTATTTGGGTTTCTAATCGGCCCACCCCAAATCGATTAGTGGCGACTCCTTGATATAAATCGCCTGCATGTTAAGAAACTTAAACCCTAAGTCGCGATATGGTATGGGCTTGGGAGAGCCCGAGTTAAGTCCCAAACCTAGACTTAGCACGTACCAGGCGAGCCCCCCTTTTTTTTTGCATGTTTGATAAAAAAGGGCTCGGGAGTTCGGTCGCGACAGTGACACAGAAGAATGCTCCCTAAAACGTACTTAAATTTCCTTTACAGAATTAGTATAGAAACTACATATCGATAATCCATGTATTCTAACAGTAATATTAACCCTGCCATATCCACTTGGCCTATTGCTTGAACATCCTTTTACAGTAGCTCTCTTGTACAGAAGTGTACAAATCTCTAAGTAAGATGCATTGCAGCTAACTATCAATCAACACCACTAAGATCACTTCCGAAATGAGAAATCAGATGGCGTTATGTCAATTTCATGTTGATTATGAGTAGAGTTTGGTTGTCGGGTCGATTCCTCTTGCCCTGTGGTATCCAAATGCCTGCTCCGAGGCACATCATCAACTTCCTGGTTCTGTGGGGATTGTAAGCCTATAACTGCCCACTCCTCGTTTTCGGCATCAGATTTCCTCGGAGAACCGTGAGGACTATTGAGGCTCCTCTGTTGGTAGTTGTGCAAGAGACAGATCGGCGACGAGCCATGCTCTGGAGTTGCTGGCATGCTTGCAAAGGGTGTTGGGGTATTATTTGAGTGTTGGCTGTGCTTGACATGCCTCCTCGCTGAGTGGTGCCAGTTTTTTAGTGCAGTTGCCACTCGATCGTGGAAGATGGTGGGTTTCATGGTGGATCCCATCTACAAAATGGAAGAGAAGTGTTATCTTCATATTCATTGAAGAAGAGTCTGCCTTTATGTTCAAGAAAAAAAATCATTACTGTGACGCTCCTGCATTATAGTAGTTATATGATCAAGAAGCCACAAGTACTAACCTGGGTCACTAAGGCATAGAGTGGCAAAGTCACATAACTGCACAAAACCTGTATGATGACCCTGGAGAAATGAGGAATATGCTTTATGTTAGAAGCTGTTTGGAGGACATTTTGGTGGAAACAGACACAAACTATGAAATTTGATTATTCAGTTAATTAGGCTGGATGGATCGGTGGCATTTTGAATCTTCATCAGTTGCCACATTTCGGAGCCCTATCTGTTTCTTGATTGAATGAGACTCACCCCATTGAAATTCTGATGATGATGTCTTCAAGTTTCTTGTGGAAGCAACTCCGCAAGGTGAATTGCCACTGAAAGCAGAGATATCAGAATAATTGGCAAAACTATATAAATTGCATGATGTTTGGATACAATATGGATGATAGCTGAGATCTTGTCTCATTAGGCGAAACTTTGATCATTGGAGTTTTTATTAGGTTATTTTCAGTAGCATGCACGGGACGTCCAAGGTAGAAGGCATCAAAAGGCTCTATAGACATTGTCTCCTTTCCAGATACAACCAAGAGTGTGCTTCCCTCTTTAGAAAAGTATGCTCAGTGATCATGTGATGATTTAACTTGGGGAAAGTGCTCGCTGAACTGAAATACTCACCGTGCTCCAGGCGAAGAAAGCTAGTTGAAAAGCATTCTGCAGAGGAAATGATGAGAACATGTAAGCATAAAGACGGGAGCTGAGAGAATAATATACAGGATTTTTCAGTACCTCAGAAGTACAATCAGTGAGGATATTCCCTAAAAAACATGCTTCCCTTACTAAAGAGCCATAAACCTCCTTCGTAGGATGCATTTAGTTCTAAAGAAGTTTTCTAATTTTTTTATGCAAGTGTACTGTTCTCCATTTTCTACTTTTCTATCACAGTCCTCGGTACATCTATTACGATTTCAGGTATCTTCATATTCTCTGTTCCAATTCAGAAGAAAAACTTTAGCGCATGATACATTTGTCGTTAAGTTCAACTTTCCTCATGTCATCTTAAAGAACAAGTAACTTATTCTGTGCTTTTTTTCCAACTTTCTAGAAGACAATGGTGCGCGCTAAACTTGTTTTTCACAAAAAATGATGCTTAAAAGCAACCAGATGAAGGAAAGTACCTGAAACAGGACAAAGTGAATTAAAAAGAGGACAAAACGCGGCCGACCAAACCAGAAAAGCTCGTCGCCTGGCTGAACCAGCACTGTACCCTTAATCACATCCCCTCTCTCTTGAATTCTTAGTCCCATTTCTGTGATAATAACTTGTAGCTTGGTTCCTACCATCAGAATTATCTGCAGAAGTCACTTTATAGTGGTCAATATTGTGTCGTGTATTTACTAGGAACTTGTGAACCAACTTAAATGGATGAGTTGACATATGTCATAGATCAGCACTTACTATCAAAGAAATGAATGGCAACCACAGGTAAGAGTACCACCCTGCAGTTATAGAGAAAGGAACGGTCTTTAGTCATCAAAAGATAACCGGAGCAACTCTAATTAAGTTTCAAATTACCAACATCCACATATAAGAAAAGGCTCTTCATTACATCTTAACCAAAAGTAAGATAGATTTCATGTCTTTATGCTAAAGCTGTCTTATGAAAAGTTCTTTGAAATATTAAGACCATTGCTCGATGGTAAGATCTTTGGTTGTACTATGTGAGTCTGTCTGTCTATTGCTTTCCAAATGACACATTGGACCTTAAATGACCACTGAGATCCATTTTTAGCTGATTGGTGAACTTGCTGACAAAGTAATTTTCTATGGTATGATGCTAATATCATATTTTGCAGAAATTTTCTTGTAGTAATTGGTCATATGTTCGAAGCAGAACTTACCATGTGTATTGGACAGCAGGAACAACACTGCAGTGAACCATATCGTGGGACTGCAAAAACAAGGTTAGAATTTTTAGTTGCATTATCAATTGGATATGACATAACGACAATAAACTTTGGTGGGGTTGAAAGAATGAACCTTATCCCAACAACCACTTTAAAATCCTCTTCGAGCGACCTGCGAATGTACTTCTGGAAGTCAAACGCGGCTGCATTGTTGGGTGCTAAATGTGCCTGCAATGCAGATCATCAAAAGATGAAACTTACTTTTAACTGTCTTAAGAGGGACTATGGAGTTTGCTGGGGTGCTGTGTAGATGCTTACCATGATAAAGCCATGTCTCAGTGCCATGTAGTCAACCTTTGTGACTGATCCAAAGAATTGTCTGAAGAAGCACACCTGGTGCAAAGGGAAGAACACCATTTGAGATATTGTTCCCTCTCAAGTCTTTAAATGTCCGACCAAAAAAAAAAAGTCTATCGAGTAGAAAATAAAGATGCCATGTGACCTTACATTATCTGACAAGTTGTATTGTATATCAACATAATAATTGAAAGCCATGCAAACCTAATAATCTGAAGTCGAATATGACTCACAATCCAAAGGGAAATTGGTGAACGGCTCCAAAAGCTCAAGTGTCTTCTCCCAAATGATGTGTCTCTTGTAAACCTAAACCTCTCTGGATCTGCAACACAAATGCCAATATTTTTATAGCAATGTGGCTCTAAGTTGCCGTACCGTATAACTGACTGTACAACTACATAGTGAGACCTGTGGATCAAGTCGACCTAAAATTATTGCCTGAACTATGACTTGAGCAATTTACTGGTTGAACTGCAACCTGATATATGTCGGTAACTGAATGCAGGTCCAACTCATTGCTTAATAGTAAATGAAGCAAAGTTTTCTTTGCATATTGTTAATCTTGGAAATGGAAACTTCCGAAAGAAAGCAAGTCAAATAATAGAATTTCTCATGCCAAAGTTGATAGCCCAATAAATGCTGGTCCACCAAAAAATATCAACTAAAATATTGCCGGTGGCGATACCATATGGCATTCAAGAGTCGAAGATGATACTGACCATTATAGAATTGGTATTCAGCTGTCTTTGTCTCATTTTCCCACAGTTTCCACTTTCTCATCTGCAAAGCAATTATCTGTCACGGAGAGAGAGAGAGAGAGAGAGAGAGAGAGAGAGAGGCATTACCTTAAAGGTGCCGAGAGCCAAAGTTGTGATGCAGTAGAGCACATGAAATATGGCTAAGACAAAGATGAATATGTGTAGCTGGTGTATTCCATATGCTGTCACAAACGCAACCTTCCCCTGCAACAATGAAGCCAAATTCTTGTCTCGTGAGAGACCCAATTGTCGGGAAAAACAAATGCCACATCGAAACAAACCGCAAAGAAGACTATTCATACAGCCAAAGTGAATAGGAAATAGTCAGTAATTGTGCAATAAGATTCAGGTAGGAGAAACGGGAAGAGCTAGCTTGCCTTTTCCGTGCATTTGTCGTATCCCTTGGTGGCCAAACTCCGCCGCGTGATGGACCCGATATCGGAAAAGTCAAGGAGTCTCCGTCCTTTACTAGAACTCTTGGAGCTCTCCTCCTCCTTGCTACAAGGGCGCCACGTGGATGCGACATTACTCGAAACGCATGTTCTCGAAATGGGATCTTGAAACACCGTAAGGAGCAAGGATATGAACCCCAGTAGCATAAGCTCTGCACATTAATTCCACAAAACGTCAGTCTCGTGCTCTAAACATACATGTCTCTGTGTGCTTAAGCTTTTGGATTGAGTTTTTGCTTATGAGTTCTTATTACTCACGTCACTAACCCATTTCAATCATGTTATATTACTGAATACTGCACGTGTTCGGATTCAAGAAGTCTTGGCAAGATTACGTATATACCTGATTTAACCACTTCAAGGGCTTCAACAAGGGCTCGCCTGCGTTTATTTGTTAGCCACTGCAAGATGAAAGCGCGCGCACACTTTTATTTTATCTTTTCCTTGCAGAATATCGACGCAAACAAACATGAAGAAAGAAGGATGTAGTTTCACTTTGTATATGTTACGTAAATGTAAACATGTACCTTGCCCAGGAGGTGAATGACATGTTCGATGAAGATGGAGATGGCGAGCAAGATGAAGCACACGACCGCCACACTCCATGTCGATGTCTCCTCCAATGTCCGCTCGTACTCTTTGTCTGGCTTTCCTGACATTCTCTCTCTCTCTCTCTCTCTCTCTCGCTCTCTCTCTGATGATCAAGAAAAAATTTCGACAAAAGGAAATATTAGTTCCTAGAAGAGTTTGATGGGTTCTCTTCTCTTCTTCCACTAAAGTATTTGGAGCTCCTGGCTAGTGTTTGTGTTATTGAAGAGAGAATTATCGTCACGGCTTAGATACGTGACTGATAGGATACTTATATATAGAGACCTTATTTTATGCATTCGATGTACTTTTTAGGCAACAGGCGATCATTCAAAAGTTTGACTCTTCCAATTGGGCAATGAATTTCAGAGATTGGTCCAACAGACACTTGCGAGAGAGAGAGAGAACACGCGTGTGTTTGACTTCAATCCAAGAACGGAAGCTTAATAATTTACTTTACTTCGTAAATATTATTGCAAGAAAAAGAACATTTACAGGATCAGAGACTTGGCCCAACGAGACGTTCATATATTAGATTAGATACGTCAAACGACGATTATACTGCTAATCTCATTTGTTTAACCGTGGAAGCAGCCTAGTGTGCCTGGTGTATAAATTATCTTCCGACATTAATCTGATGAGATTGTTTCGGATTCACTTTTTAAATATAGAATAAGGCCGCTCAACCATTTGCAAAATATAGTCAAATTGATTGATAATGTTAAAAACATAAGCTTGAGAATCATTGTGGTGTTAGGCTCTAATTATGTGTGACACGTGTCCATACTCTCCATCACACGACAAAATGTTGTCCGTTGGAGAGGTTGAAGCTAGCGGTTAGCGGGGAACAATTTGACCTAATTAAACGTCGAAAATTCAAATGAACAAAGAGGAAGAAAGAAAATTCATACAACAGAAACAATCAATCAGTTAGAAATGTCCTACAACGTCATTGCGACCGACAAAGAATTCCAGAAGGAGCGAGATTTTGCTTCTGGTGAAGTTGACGACGTCCTCCAATGCATCTTCTAGTAGAAGTATGACAGAAGTTAAGGGAAAAGTGTCGGAAAAGTCCTAAACCTTTTGCATTGATACCAATTTAGTCCTAAATCTTTTTTGAGTGTCAATTTAGTCCTAAACCTTTTGAACTAGTGCCGATTCAGTCCTTCCGACTAATTTTGGCTGGATTTTGTTGATGTGGACGCCGGTCGGTCTATGTGGCACTGTCTGCGCTGACGTGGACAATTTTTAATATTTTTTTAATTATTTTTTTCTGATTTTTTTTCTTTTTTCTTTCTTTTTTTTTTTCTTTCTTCCTCCCTTCGCCCGTGACCAGCCATTGGCCACAGGCGATGGTCGGCCACCAACCATGGCCAAGCGGGCTGCCCTCGCCTGGGCGAGGGTCGCTGTCGCCCGGCTAGGCTAGGCGAGCCCCGGCAAGGACTCCCCTCGCTAGATCTGGCGAGGCCGGCCCTAGCGCAGGCCACGGCGGCCTCGACGAGCATTACCTTGGCGCGGGCGACACCCGGCTAGGCCACCCTGGCCTACGCAAGGGCCGATCTTGCCAGATCTGGCCTGGGCGAGGCCGACCCCCACCTGAGCAAGGGCAAGCCCCAACGAGGGCTCAAGCCTCGCGCCGGCCTGGGCGAGTCTCGTGCTGGCCGGCGAGTCTCGACCCTCGCCAGTGGCCGGCGGGGCTCGCCAGAGGCCCCCTGGCCTCCAGCGAGCCTCATGCTAGCCGGCGAGGCTTGACCCTCGCCCAGCCGCTGGCAAGGCTTGGCGTCGCCGTCGCTGGCAAGCCCTCGCCAGTGGCCGGCGGGGCTCGCCAGAGGCCCCTTGGCCTCTAACCGATCGCCGGCGGATGCAACCGGCTGGAGGAAGAAAAAAGGGAAAAAAAATTTAAAAAAAATCGAAAAATATTAAAAATTATCCACGTCATCGCTAGCGATGCCACGTAGGCCAGCCAGCTTCCACATCAGTAAAATCCGGCTAAAATTTGCCGGAAAGACTAAATTGGCACCAAAACAAAGGTTTAAAACAAAATTGGCATCAAAAAAAGGTTTAAGACTAGATTGGCACAAATGCAAAAGGTTTATGACTTTTTTGATACTTTTCCCTAGAAGTTAAAGCACGTTGGCCTCCCATTTATTCCTATTTGACTCCCTCGATTCATTCATTATCAAAGAGACTCATAATTAGTAATTCCTTAAATGTTGATGGAATAATATACCGCATATTTTGGATCCTCGTAGATCTTCGGTTCAAATCACAACGTCACCCACTTATATTAACCTCTGGGGGCTATGCCTGCCATCTTGTAAATGGAAACTAATCCGATGCACGTAGACAGGGTGGTGTGCGCGTATCCATTGGGACAGTGAAATAAAGGGGGAAAGAAAAAAGAAGAACCGATAAAGTATTAAGTTTATCATGCATTCTTATGAATCCTAGCGTCCTCTCTAGTCTCTATCAATTCCACGATTTGTGAATGAGCCCATTTCAACATTCACAGAAACCAGCGGGAGCCGTATCTGAAAGTGAAAGAACGACTCGGCCTTCTACATCCCGATCGTCTCTGGTCAAGTCCCACTTTCCCGGAGAGTTGGTAATCAATAGTGGCCATGCAAATCGGGCGGTGATTTTTCAGTACGAGGGGAAAAAGTGGTTCTTGAAGCGCTCCAATTTGACTGCAGAAATGTCCACATGCCTCATGGGAGAAATGTCAAGAAGAGGGGTTATGTGGCTTGCATTCAATGGGCGGTGTTCACTCCACATGCCTCATGGGAGAAATGCCCAAGATGAGATTGTCGACGTAAAGTGGTCCTCTTCGTGATGGAGAAACTTGGGGACAAAATGCAACTTGGGTTGGCACTGACATCGACTTTCTTTGCAAGTAAATACCCAAGTTGAAATTGGAGAAAGTTTTCCTTGTTCCCCCTCTTGGATGATCGTTGGGTGAATCACAAGCTGCTGAATCACATATTTAAAGTTCGTTCCACAGCTGCACATGCGCATTTCTGCACATAAAATCTACTGTTTGCCGTGTCACGAAATGGGCGTTTTCCTCATGAAGTTGATTCATCATCAGCCGAATGGCTCGCCTGTCCAAACCAGATCGGCTCATTCTTTGAATTGTTTTCATTTACTCGATGCGATTTATATTTTTGACTCGTCAGCTATTGGGTCGGGCCGAGCAAGATAAGCACAAAACGAACGTTGCAAAATAGACAAAAATTGAAAGATCCGAATGGTGCTGAGATGGGTTCGGATGGATGGCATCATATTACGGGTATACTTTTCAAACTTATCATATAATCTATCTAGATTTTCTTAACGTGTTGACAGATTCCGGTCAATTTTGTTGAACACTTCACTTCGAAACCAATCTAAGTACCCAAAATTAGATGGTGACTCCCTTCATGTGATTTTAAAGTCTATGGTACGTCGACATCAATAGAAGTTGTTCGAGCATACGACTTGTTGGCTCTCGAGAATACTATTGCTAACTGACATTATGAAAGTATCCAAAAGTTCTCCAAAATTTCTTTTTAGAACAGCACAGGAACCTCAAATTAGGGGGTATGCTAATAGTTTTCGTCTCATCAAGTGTCGTCCAAAATCCGTTTCGACTCCACCCATCCCTATCCTCCTAAGAGGAACTTTAGTGAAGTCCAAAGAATATGAATAAAATTTGAATATGCATCTGGCATGAACCCGATGATGAATGGCAGACCGAGTCAGATACCAGCTTGAAAGTTCTTATACATGCCCGCTCATAATATGTAAAAACTATTAAATTCTCTTCATAAAGTCACTAGACCTAAGTGGGTGGCCTCGCCTGAAAAGAAACATGCTCGTCTAGTCAATCTAAATCGTGCTTCGAGCATCGATAGGATCAACAGGCTTCTAGACCCATGATCAAGTTTATATAACAGATAAGAATAAAGCAGAAAAGTGAAATGTGTAATTTCTATATATTCCACAGTGAAGAGTACATGAGCTTATTTATAGACCTTTCTATGTGATTATCTATAATAACAAAAAAAAACGATCTCAATTGCAATCAATTAGGATCAATCAAGGAAGATAATGCACAATCCCGAAAGATACATAGAATCAAGGGAAATATATCTCTAAATCCCCTCAAACTCAAGGTAACGTTGAAGAAGTCAATTAGAGTTTGGAGAAAAGATCTTGAAAATGCCCGAATGGATGTGCTTTAGCAAAAACATCAGCAATCTAATCATCCCATGAAATGGGGACGAGATGAATAGTGCCATGAAGCATGTGATGGCATATGAAATGACAATCTATTTCAATATGCTTAGCGCGCCCATAAAAAACATAATGACGTGCTATTTGGATAGCACTCCGGTTGTCGTAATAACTGATTGTTCCAACATTATGACACATGCCCACATCCTCTAATAGCCATCACAACTATAATAACAGTGATATCGTATCAGCGAGAGCACGATATCCTGCTTTCGTGCTAGATCGAGCGACGGCGATCTATTTCTTACTATGCCATAAGATAAGTGAGTTATCTAGAAAGAAGTAGTAGCTTGTAGTGGGGCGACAATTAAGAGAGTCTCCAGCCCAGTCAACATAAGAATAATTCAGTTCTAAGGTAGAGTGAGCAGAAAAGTGAAGTCCATGAAATTAGGTACTCTCAACATAGCAAAGAATTCAAAAAACAACAACAAAGTAAATCGTACATGGCGAGGTCATGAACTGACTAATAATGGGAATAGCATATGCGATGTCACAATGAGTAACAGTAAGATTTACAAGACCGTCAACCAGCTATTGATAGAATGTGGCATTTGGAAGAGGAATCCCATTTTTGTCATCAAATTTGGTATCAGTCTCAATGGATGTTGTGATGGTCTTGCTATGGGTGAGTCCCGCTCGAAAAAGAAAATCATTGACACGTTTCGCTTGAGAAAGAGAATGCCCAGAGGAATCTAAAGCAACCTCCAATCCTAGAAAATAGTTGAGTCACCTAAGGTCTTTCATTTCAAATTGTTGATTGAGATACCGTTGGATTTTTTTTAATATTGGTGTTATCATTCCCAATAATAACCATATCGTCAACATATAAAAGTAGTAGAATATACCCAAAAGATGTTTGTTGAACAAAGAAAGCATTGTCATAGGGACCGGATGTAAATCCAAGGTGTTCCATGGAGGAACTAAACTTGGAATACCATGCACGAGGAGCCTGCTTCAATCA